AAGTGTTTGGATTGATTTTATGTTTTTTTCTCCTTATTTGTGTTATCTATATTTTGTTAATTGTCAAAGTTCAGCTTGCTTTTATATTTCAGTTTGATATCTTTTAAACCATTGAAATAAAGTAAAAGAAAACAAAAAAATAAAGAAAAGGAAAAGAAACCAAAAAATAGAAAAAAGGCAGCAAAGCTGCGTGACAAAAAAGGGAAGCAAAGGCTTGACAGCCAACCAAAAAAAAATCTGAAGCAAGACAAGAGAAAGAAAGCAGCCGCACATGGCTGCGGCCAAATCAAAGGAAAACAACAAAAAAGGGAAGGTGCAATCACTCCAGCCGCAAGGAGATGGGATTGGCAACCAACTACTTGTTTCAATCACTCAGCGGCAAGAATAAAAAAAAAAGAGGTCCGCAATAGAAAGGCAACCAGCGGGGAGAGAGGCTTAGCAGCCGAAACAGAAGAAAAAGAGCCGCAGTTGCGAGTAGCGGCAAGGAAGCTTTAGCGGCAAGAACCAGAGGAAATAAAATTGCAGGAGTCTAAGAAAAGAAGCACATAGCAGCAACAGTAACAATTCTGGTTAATCTTTTGCTATTATCAATTTCAATCCTAGTTTCATGCTTAGTTTCGAACTTCAATAAGCTTTTGGTTTTAATTACATTACTGTATTATTTCATATTCTGCAATGCTATTTACTTGGATACTTGTATTTGTTGATGATGTTTAGCTACTGTTTAATTTCATCTACGAATTACTCTAGCTCTTTTATTAGTTGTGTTAGTTTCTTGATAATTATGTTAGGCTAAATATCCATGGGGTATGGATTTGGATATAGTTAAGGTTAATGGGTGTTCTTGAGTATTGAATTGAATTTGGGAAAATTCTCTAATTTTTAGAACTGGTTGTTTGAGATAAAATTGAATGAGTAATTTGTGAAATTGATCACTTCACTTGTGAATGTTTGGAAAATTAAATCTTGCTTGTCTATGAGTGTAGATTAATTTAGCTCATATCTCACACACCCTAAACTAAGCCTAGAAATAGGACATGTTAGGGGAATTAAAATCAAGTTCTTGTCTATGAGAATTAATATATCACTATTCTTAAATTGGAGAAAGTTTTCCATATTTGTTCATAGTCCAAAGACACCCAAGATCCTTACTTCCAAATCTAGACCCCACTTTTAATTAATTATTTTTTCGTTACTAGTCACATTGAATTTACCTTTAAGTATTTTATTTTTGAAACTTTACTCATCCACATATTTGCTAGTTTAATATTTTAATTAGTTAATTTTCTCTCTTTAGTTATTTTGCATGTTCACTAGTTTTAGTTTACTCATTAATGTCATTTATTTAAATTCTCCGCTACTACTTTTGTTGTTTAATTTTATTTACTTAATCATCATCACAATTAATCGTTTGAGAAAGCTTGCAACGATTCGTACTAACCTGTGACCGATATTGAAACCAACACTTCCCTCCGCCACTCCTCAGAGACACGATACTCGGAGAAAAACCAAAAGGTTAGACTCCGTTTTACTACAACGCCGCGAAAGCGGGTTATCAAATGGCGCCGTTTCCGGGGAGTGGCACGGTTGTAAGTTGGTTTTTATTATTGGCATAGGCGAACCCGAGTTAGTGAGACTTTGTCCTTTATTTTCCGTTTTGTGTGTGTGTGTGTGTTGTTTTCTCAAGTTTGCAGGACCAGTTTGTCATCGCCCTTTTACAAACATGCCAAGTTGCTATCATTTGCTCTCTAATCTGAAAGAACATTGAGAGGGCCAGAACAGAAAATTCATCAGAATGAGGGAGACCAGAACAGTGCTTGAAACACTAACCTTGGACTTTTCCGAGGAAGATAGCATCATCATTCCACCAATCGATGCCACTGATTTTGAGATTAATCCTGATATTATTCAAGTGATATCGATTAATCAATTTGGCGGTTTGAAACATGAAGATCCCGGGATGCATATGTTGTGGTTTAATAGAACGTGTCAAACATTCCGGATCAGTGGAGTCTCAATTGACACTGTGAAGCTTATCTTATTCCCATTCTCTCTTCGGGATAAGGCTATTCGTTGGTTGAATTCTTTTTCACCAGGTCACTTCACCACCTGGAATGCTCTTCACCGGGCATTTATGCATGAGCATTTTCCTCCATCAACGGTTGCAAAAATCAGAGCATCTATTCAAAATTTCAGCCAGACTCCAATGGAATCCTTGAGTGAGGCTTGGGATCGATATAAAGGCCTACGGAGGAAGTGTCCTACACAGTTGATGGATGCTTATGAATTGATGTTCTATTTCTACTATGGACTTCAAGTTGTAAGTAAAAGAGAGTTGGACCATTATTCAAAAATGGGTTCTTTTCTCGATATGACACCGGGAGATAGTGAAGTACTAGCGGAAAAGGTGGTAACAAATGCTAAGAACTGGTACTACGACAGAGAACCTTCTTCGGAGACTACACTTCCAGACATTGATCAAGTTTCTGCCCTCACAACAATTATTGACAATCTGGCCACCGAAGTGAAGAATCTCAAGTCACAGCCATGCCGGGTCAATGAGCTGAACCATTTTGGGACAGTTCCAGAAAGCTTGGTGGATGCTATTACAGATGCACCCATTATTGATGAAGAATCCATACACGAGAGATGGACGTCTACTGAAAAACAAAGCTTAGTGGGGCTGCAAAATGAGAGATTTGCTGAGGATGATGAAAGTGAAGAGATCTTTAAGCCAAATTCAGAAAATGTTGATGCGGAAGACATTTCATGCGAAAGTGATGTTGAAAATGGGGAATTTTTGAAACCATATCTTGCTGAATTTGATGAGGCATCTCATAGAGTGGAGGAATCTGAAATAATCACAGTTGCATCATGTGAAGAATTTAAAAAGAAAACTCCCATGAAAATCAATGAAATTGAGGAACTCCTTGATCTATTATTGAAGACTTTGGACGTGGAAGTTGACCAAAAAGATGCAAGGGTTGAGGGAGAAACAAGCATGGAGGAGTCCATCGACTATCTTCTTGATGTACTTCATTTTAAAACGGGGCTCAAAACTGCCCAGATTGAGGAGGAATTTAGGAATAAGGATAACTTTCCTTATTTTATTTTGCCACCAAGCAGTGAGAAAGATGCACAAGCCTTTGTTCTTGCTTGTGAGTTTGTGATGAAAGAGAGGTGGTGCACAACAAGAGTCCCGAGGGTCAAGCTGTATGATCCGAGAGTTGGAAGGTCAAGGAAAAGGTGGATAAGGCGTCAAGCTAGTGACATTAAAGAAGCGCTTCTTGGGAGGCAACCCAAGTGCTAAAAAGGGGTTTAAAAAAAATTGCAACCAGAAAAAATTAAAAAAAAAAACTAAAAAATGCAAAAAAAAAAACTGCTTGTAAAAAAAACTAAAAAAAAGTATTTTCTTTTGTTTGTTTGTTTTTCCTTGTTTGTGTGTTAGTTTTAATTCATCATTATATTTTGTTTTCTTTAGCTTTTTCAGGTTAATTACTGGAGTTCCCCTGGATTAAAATTTGATTTGTGCTTGCTCTTTCAAATCTTCTTCAATATTGAGCACAAGGGGAGTACTTCTTTTCTCTATCAATTTTCTCCCTCCATGTGTGTTTATTTCTGGTTCATCTTAAGTGTGAGGAGGGTAGTTTTTTTTAAAAAAAATGCAGATTTGCCCTGTTTTATTTTGATTTTATTTGAGACCTCGAGGACAAGGCCTATTCTCCAAGTGTGAGGAGGGTTTAGAACAGGGCAATGGACTGATCTGGTGTGCATGACAAGAGGCTCAGGTGAACTAAGTTAATATTATTGATAAGCTAAGGTGTAATCTACTTTAACTATTTTTTTATGAAAGTTTTGTTATAACTGTTTTTTATGAGCATCATACTTTTTTTTTAAAAAATCTTTAAATATTAGGAGATATGCTTGATTTCTACTTAGAAGTTGTGTGCACAAGTTTGGGTTTTTGGTTTGAATGGTTGTTTGGTCTTACTTTCTTTTCATGGATATATACAATGCTCCTTGGTTAGCTTAAAATATTTAAATTCTTTGGATTAGGGAGAATTCTATCCTCGAATGAGGCTCTGCTTTTAGCATTTGATAGAATATCTCTCGCTATTGTGGTTGTACTTGATTATTGATTTGAGAAGTGTCTTCGTTGGGAGTCTCATCTCCTAGAAGGGGCGCTGCTCTTCTCATTATCGTATTCTGCGAGAGTTGAGTATATTTTATATATTTTATGAGATAGCCCCACAAATCAATGATTTAGTTTAACCATAAAATTCATACCAACTTGCCTTGTTTATAGCTCCCCCAAGATCATTAAAAAAATTGCTAGGGGAGTTGAAACAGTTTTTTTAAAACTGGAGCTTGTGTGTATTTCATGACTAGTTAAGGATGACTGAGGGTTTATGAATGTGAATGTTGACTTGTGCTCATAACTAATTAGTAGCAGTTTTTGCATATATGCTAGCATTAAAGGTTTTTTTATTAGTAGAATGTTGTGTCATAAAAGTTGAGTTATTACTTCGCTTTCATGAAAATATAGTTAGGTAGATTGGAATATTATTCTATTGAAGGTTGAATCTAAGTGATCTTGAGTCCTTGAGTTATGCACCATGAACATTTTGCCTTGAAACTACGTTTGCTTTGTTGCTTGAGGGCAAGCAACGTTTAAGTGTGAGGAGATTGATAAGTCTGATTTGTTCATATATTTTCACTCACTTTTCATAGCGTTTCTGGTCAAACTCGGGGCAAACTGAAGCATTTTTTCTGCGTTTTTATTGCATTTTTGTTAATGTTTGAAATTAGTGTTTAAATTTTCATTTTAATTTATTTTGTATTAAATTTAAGTGTTTGGATTGATTTTATGTTTTTTTCTCCTTATTTGTGTTATCTATATTTTGTTAATTGTCAAAGTTCAGCTTGCTTTTATATTTCAGTTTGATATCTTTTAAACCATTGAAATAAAGTAAAAGAAAACAAAAAAATAAAGAAAAGGAAAAGAAACCAAAAAATAGAAAAAGTGCAGCAAAGCTGCGTGACAAAAAAAGGAAGCAAAGGCTTGACAGCCAACCCAAAAAAAATCTGAAGCAAGACAAGAGAAAAAAAGCAGCCGCACATGGCTGCGGCCAAATCAAAGGAAAACAACAAAAAAGGGAAGGTGCAATCACTCCAGCCGCAAGGAGATGGGATTGGCAACCAACTACTTGTTTCAATCACTCAGCGGCAAGAATAAAAAAAAAAGAGGTCCGCAATAGAAAGGCAACCAGCGGGGAGAGAGGCTTAGCAGCCGAAACAGAAGAAAAAGAGCCGCAGTTGCGAGTAGCGGCAAGGAAGCTTTAGCGGCAAGAACCAGAGGAAATAAAATTGCAGGAGTCTAAGAAAAGAAGCACATAGCAGCAACAGTAACAATTCTGGTTAATCTTTTGCTATTATCAATTTCAATCCTAGTTTCATGCTTAGTTTCGAACTTCAATAAGCTTTTGGTTTTAATTACATTACTGTATTATTTCATATTCTGCAATGCTATTTACTTGGATACTTGTATTTGTTGATGATGTTTAGCTACTGTTTAATTTCATCTACGAATTACTCTAGCTCTTTTATTAGTTGTGTTAGTTTCTTGATAATTATGTTAGGCTAAATATCCATGGGGTATGGATTTGGATATAGTTAAGGCTAATGGGTGTTCTTGAGTATTGAATTGAATTTGGGAAAATTCTCTAATTTTTAGAACTGGTTGTTTGAGATAAAATTGAATGAGTAATTTGTGAAATTGATCACTTCACTTGTGAATGTTTGGAAAATTAAGTCTTGCTTGTCTATGAGTGTAGATTAATTTAGCTCATATCTCACACACCCTAAACTAAGCCTAGAAATAGGACATGTTAGGGGAATTAAAATCAAGTTCTTGTCTATGAGAATTAATATATCACTATTCTTAAATTGGAGAAAGTTTTCCATATTTGTTCATAGTCCAAAGACACCCAAGATCCTTACTTCCAAATCTAGACCCCACTTTTAATTAATTATTTTTTCGTTACTAGTCACATTGAATTTACCTTTAAGTATTTTATTTTTGAAACTTTACTCATCCACATATTTGCTAGTTTAATATTTTAATTAGTTAATTTTCTCTCTTTAGTTATTTTGCATGTTCACTAGTTTTAGTTTACTCATTAATGTCATTTATTTAAATTCTCCGCTACTACTTTTGTTGTTTAATTTTATTTACTTAATCATCATCACAATTAATCGTTTGAGAAAGCTTGCAACGATTCGTACTAACCTGTGACCGATATTGAAACCAACACTTCCCTCCGCCACTCCTCAGAGACACGATACTCGGAGAAAAACCAAAAGGTTAGACTCCGTTTTACTACAACGCCGCGAAAGCGGGTTATCAAGACTCCGAATCTAGATCCTTTGATGTGCGGTAGAGGTGCTTTGCTAGAATGCAGAGACGCATGAAAAGAAGGGAACCCTCTAGATATGAACATCAACTTCCCCGGTCATTGAATTATTGATCAGAGGGTTGCTAAAAGTCAGGCACCCCACCCTACTCTAAAAGCATGACAGAAACTCATTGCGAGGAATTTTTCTAGCATTTCTTTCTCTCATATTAGGCTGTCAGCGAATAAGTGAGCTCATATCATTGCTAAGACAACTTGTTCCATGTCTGATTCACATTTTTGGTCTTTTGATCCATCGTTTTTTATCTCTTGTATGCTGGATAATGATTTGATTAATGAAGTTAATTCCCTCACTTGCAAAAAAAAAAAACAAAGACAGGAACTTCAGAATCCAACAGAATATAAATCATCTTTATGGGAAGGACAACATATTAAGGCTTGAGGTTCCATCCTAAAAGGTTATTTCTATACGTAAACGGTGTGTGACAGCTTAATACGCCCACAAGATGGTGGCTCGTTGAAGCAAATCAATCTTGTAGTCTATGTGCTCGTTGTTGAGGCTTGTCAGGATCTAATTACTCGCTTGATCTTAATTGACTCTGATTAGAGTAGCCTGAAGCTTGATTTGTATTTCTGTATACAACCTGTTTGAGACAGCTTAATAGCGAACGGATATATGAGGACACCTCAAGATATCGATCATTCGATCTCACAATTGTAGGTTTATAAGGGGGTGTTTGGAACTGATTCTGCTTCTGCTTCTTTTTTAAAAGCAGAAGCAGAATCAGAATCAGTTTTCAGAAGCTGGTACCCCCCAGCTTCTAAAAAAACTGATTCTGAGAGTAAATTAGAGCTCCAGAAGTGATTCTGGAATTTCACCCAAACACTCCAACTTCTGCTTCTGCTCCCTGAAGGAGCAGAATCAGTTCTGAGAATCAGATCCAAACACCCCCTAAATTTTCTATGGGAGGGTTGACAAATGTCAAGCACCCTAGCTCCTGATCCATGAGGACATTGCACAGTAATAGTAAAGCCCTCATGCCCATACCCCAATCCTCGAAGGTACCAAACCCTCTCCCTCATCTCGGCCCTCCGCTTCTGAGCAATCTTCTACCTTCAAGATTCCCGTCCCTTCGAAGTTTACCGCAGACTCTAAGAGGACCCTTAACCAAAGCGGCCTTAATGGCTTCTTCTCAGTCATCAGGCACACATGCAGGGGCTGAAGAACCAACCAAGCCATTTTCAGTTCTCTTCGTCTGCCTTGGGAACATCTGCAGAAGCCCAGCTGCCGAGGCTGTGTTCAGGGATTTGGTGAAGAAAAGAAGCCTTGAATCTAGGTTCTACATTGATTCTGCTGGAACTATCAATTACCACGAGGTATGGTGTTTTGTGTGTGTGAATTGCGATTAATGAATTGACAAAGGGGAATATTTGTTCGATTCTGCTAGGGTTCACAAGCAGATTCAAGAATGAGGGCTGCAGCTAAAAGGCGTGGAATTGAAATAACTTCTATCTCCAGGCCGATTAGACCCTCTGATTTCAAGGATTTCAATCTAATCATTGCCATGGATGAAAGTAATAAGAGTGAGTTTTGTTTTATGGAAACTCCATATTTTTACACTGAAAAACAAGGTGAAATGTGATCACATCACAAATATGTTCTTTTTAGGGGAATTCCATAAATTCTTAGAAGTGTCCTGATCACTCCATGAACAAGCAAATCAAATCTTCCTGAATTTGTTTGGTCCCTAAGAGTCCCTTGTTACTGAAACTGAATAGGTTACTGGATTTCTTTTTGTTTAGGCGATATACTTGAGCAAATTACGAGGTGGAGCAAAAGAGAGGGGTTATCTGTAGACGTACATGAGAAGGTAAAATGCAAGCATGCAACTTTATTGTGTGATGAAATGTCTGCTGCATATCTTTCCTTTCATTCTTTTGGTTTATTTATATAATATGTGTTATTATGGATCATCGTGAAGGTTCAATTAATGTGTTCCTACTGTGAAAAGCATGATGAGACTGAGGTTCCTGACCCGTACTATGGTGGACCTCAAGGCTTTGAGAAGGTAATGTTTGACACATGCTTACGATGTTTCTTCAACTAATTGGACCCATGAGTCAAATTTGATTACATTATCTGTGGGTGTTGGAGTCTGTGAAGCTTAATTTGATGGATTTCATAGTATAACTTACAGAGCATCTTTTTTAGATTGTATTATTGAGCCTCTGTGCGTGCATCTTCACCCGCCATCTTGGAGGTCTAGGATTTGAATTCGCCTCTTTGCAAAATAGCCAGGGAAAGGTGGTTTAGAAATCTCATCCCCTTCATAATTTCATATTACTAGAGAATGTAGATTATGTTTGGTTGGAGGGCCTTGGAAAGAAGGGGATGTAAATCTACGAGTGTTGTGAGTTAGAAGGGAGGTGGGTGGGGGGCAGAGGAGCTACTGACTCCCCCAAACTCCTCATATCTCATTCCCCCCGTCTGTGGTATTTTGAAGGATTAATTTGTTTCCTTTTTTTTTGCCTTTTTAAATTAAATGTGATCTACATTGTTATTGCTGGAATTATCGATCACTTCTTAAAAAATACACCTAAAAAGTTATACTACGTACTACCTTTGCCCGAAACAATAGTCCCAGGTTTACTGTACACCCGGTCAACACAATTCACCTTTAACCTTTAATTTTATGTTTCAAATTTTTATCGTATTCCAATTAAATTTCTGCTCTTCTAAATATATGATTTTAGTTTTTACTTCAGCATAAGATTTTGTTTGACTTTTTAAATAGTTAAATTACAAAATGCGTAGGGAGTATTAAATAATATTTTTACTAATTTATATAGTTTTCTAAATGACTAATTCCTTCTTTACTCCAGTGAACCAAATGCAACATCCATTCTAACTCTACTATTTACCTCTTAGAAAAAAAATCATTCAGACCCTGGTTTCATGTTCATAATACAAAATATTCAAACCATCAACCATAGGTAGGAGCATATATTAAGCAACATGACATGTTACAGGCTTATCATTACCATCATACTCCCTCCGTCCCTAAATAAACTTCCAACTTTCCTTTTTCGTCCGTCCCAATTAAAACTTCCACTTTCCCTTTTTGGCCAGAATTTGTGGTTCACAGCAATTCTTACAGATTTCTCTCTCCTCTGCACAACTCTCCACCACACAATACCCACTATCTTAAACTCTGTGTCAAACCTATTTGGAAGTTTAATAAGGGACGGAGGTAGTATATGATAATGACCATTAATTTGAATGTTATTGAAACTAATTACAATTCATGCCCCACCAAGATATAGCCTTAACAACATTTTTTACGGAGCCATTTTATATTGGGGGTGTTCGACAATCAACGGTAGTTGTTAATTGATAGTCAATTCTATCAGCGGATTCTGTTAGCTGTTTTGATCATTCGCTATCATTCGAATGGTTTTTAATTAAACTATTGCGTTGAGATACGAATATTTATCTCATGTATGGAATGTGTGGATAGGGAAATGGATATTTTATGTAATGAAAATGGTCCGTGGTATGGCTACCATGTATATCTGAATTGGTTGGAGCATACACAAATGGTCCGTGGTATGGCTACCTTTCGATAGTCGATACCCAAATGTGTTTCAATGTTAGAGCAGAGGCCAAACCCTTATCTAAGGAGTGGTGTCAGATTTGTATGGACTCACAAGGTTAGAGGTAAAGATTATGGCCCGGGCCATCTCCAGAGAGAGCAACTAGATTGCATGGACTTACCAACGTGATCACATATAGAGAATGGACCCCGAACCAATGACCATACGTAACTTTGAACAAGCGGTGACATTGTTTAGGGTCCCAATAGACCCTACCTTCCTACGCGAAAAAGGATACGAGTCTAGGGCCAAGGCAGCCTGACATTGACTGAAGAATCCGTGAAGTGTTGGACTTGCAATGACGTTGTTAGATGATATAGTCAGGTTTCGCCCTCAAGACTCTATGAATTTTCAAGAGTGAGGATGGGCCCATAGGATGGTTAATACCATTTAGGTTATGCAAACCTACGAGTTGTAAATGGGAAATGATTTATATATAAATGGGCCCACGGCTCAACTACTTGACTTTGTATAAGTATGTTGTAATTTATAGTTGTCATGGCGCATGGCGACATCCATGGCGCACAGGCATTTTTCCATGGCGATGGCGATGGCGCAAATATGGCGTTGCCACGTGACAAAAATAAAAAAACTAAAAAAATGAATTATAGACACTATTATTGTATCACCCAACCACCAACATATGATAAAACAAGTTGGATAACAGCATTCTAACTAAAGCATGTGAGGTTCAAATAATTTAAAGTAGTTCCAATAAACATAATATTCAAAAAAAGTTCCATGTCTTCAAAATATATTAGCTTGTTTTGTTTGATGATTATTCCATAATCATCACCAATTGTGACACTCCTCAGTCCTCATCATCTTGGTATGATAGCAATGGAACACCATCTTCATTCATCTCATTTGTATACTCGTATATATAACTATATATATATATTTATATATATAATTATATATTGTATATAACTTAGAATTGAAACTCACAATTAATAAAAAAATTGCAAAATAAACTCACAATTAATAAGTGAAAACAAGGTTTATTAATGAGAATTAAAATTAAAAAACTAATCAAAACAAAAAGTGAAGTATATCATAGAAGGTTATTTTAAAATAAAAGTATCACAGTTAAAACAACAACAAAAAACAAGGTTAAAACAACAAAATTATAAATACACAACTTAATTAATTAAAATTTAAAATAATAAAAAACTGAAGCCAAAGATAGGGGACCTGGGAACTGGAAAGTCTGCGAGTTCCTTTGCTGCTCTGCTTCCACGAGGGACTGAGGGAGGGCGACTCTGTGCGTTCATCTTAGTCGTTTGCTTCCTGCGTGCGACCTGGCTATAAGCCTTTGGGCAACGAATGGTCTGGGCTTAGCTTTTAATTTAAAGCCTGGACCCTTAAATTAGCCTTAATTAAGGCCTAAATCTATTTTACGTGGTTCTGGGCCTGCACTGAGGTTCGATTTGCGAATAAGGCCAGGATTTCTTCGCCAACATCCCGCCTACACGACTATTGGACAATGCATAACGCCATGGCGAAGGCGCAGGAATGGCGACGCCATGTGTATATACCTCGCCACAGGCAATTTTCATAGCGCAGAGGGGTTTTGCGCGCCATATGGCGCATGGCGCACACGCCATATCACGCCATCGACAACCATGGTTGTAAAACAGGGTAACTAGGGGTTACGTCCTAGATTATACTATCACCAATACTATAAAGTTTGAAGTAACTAGTGACCCCTTCGAAGGTATCCCACCATTTTAGGTAGTAGCTACGACCTACTACCCATGCCCATTGATCCATTCAGAGTGAAGATTTGGTTCGTGCTTCCTCCATTCTATTTTGAAACTATAATAAACATGCTCATGGACACCTTTTCACTTTAAATCTTATGGGAGCCCGCGTGCTCGTGATTGCCCCATGTGGCCTTTGATTTTAAACATATTGTTTTCCACTACATATCGAATTCCTTAACCTATGTTTGTTATGGATGTACTTTATGGTTGAATTATCCAAGTTGTACGGTGATTGTTGTTGTGTCCAGGGAAGTCCAAGGCGTGACAATTTAATTGGTATCTGAGCCTTAGTTCACAAACGTTATAATGAAGTATCAAAATTTGTTCTTTCAAAAGGAACATTGGGGAGTATAGAGGAGTTACTACAAAGCTACTAGTGTGAACGTGAGATAAGGGAAAGGTAACGTCAAAGGTGCCGGGCAAGACGTATTTTAGAAGGGGCTTCGGGAAGAGGAAGCCTTTGTGCTTCTAGGGCACACGTTGAGCCACGTGTAGGCTAAGGTATTGAGATTTCAATCATAAGAATCTCGAAATACCTCAAAGAGGCAACACTTTAGGATGCAAACTGTTTGATGGAACAAGAGACATTTCTATCACAGCTGAGTGGGTGAAGAGACTAAACGAAGCGAACCTTGACATGCAATTAATGTAAAAATGAGAGCCACGACAAGATTGTTAGAAGGAATAGCGTTCACTTGTTGAGATGACGTCAAGGGGAAATATAACGGGGTTGTCACATGGGACAATTCTGTGAACAATGTTACTCATCCTTCAAGGTGAACTTAAAGAAGAGAGAGAATACAATTCTGAACCATGTGGTGAATATATGGTGAAGCAATTGGAACATAAGTTTCAAATACTTGCTGAATTTATACCTGAGTATGCATGCAACTAAAATCGAATGATGAGCCACTTATGAGATGTGTTGGACTTAGAGGTGCGCGATTGGGAAACGTACTCGCCTAACATGGCATTTAACGAAGTATTTCAACAACGAGGGTGGCAATAATCTATGTCTTTGAAGCGCCATACTATGAAATCGCCTCATAATGGCTTCATTCTCAATTTTAACAAAACATCTTTCTCAATGTAACACACAAGCAATCTTTTTTCTCCATTCTTGTTGCGCAAATCATTCTCGATGAATTTCATCATCGAGAAAGATCTTTCAACTGTGGTTGTTTTTGTAAGAAGGAAAACCAATGCCAATTGAATGAGTCGGTACACTAACTTATAAGTTGTGTGCCGTTCTTTTTGCCAAAACTTAAGTAGTTTGTAGGCCCGAGAATTGTGGAGATGATTTGACAAATGCAATAAACACCTTAAGTTGTTCATCTAGTTAAAAATTTTCTCTTGAGCTAAAATCATCTGAGTGTAATTCAACAAGACGAAGTAGTCGCTACACATCATAATTGGAGAATGAGTCTTGAGGACTTATTAACGTTATGCAGATTAGTTGCTCCGAACTTGACTCAGTAAAGCGATTCCCCATCTCTTGAATAAGATGATCAATAACATAACATTATATTTTAAAAAACATAATGAATTACAACGGCGAAGTAAATTGAAATACAACTAAATAAGGAATAAAAGTCTAAAAAGTACTTCGAGAAAAATATCAACATGAAAATAGTTGTAATAAGTTTTCGGGTTACCATCAACTGTCTTATTCCTTTTTACTCGACTTGACATTACATCCTTCATATTAGGTACATCAATATCATGCTTTAAACAAAATGTAATCACTTCTTCAACCAACAAACCCCAACCATAATCATTCCTATAATTCTCCAAATCAGTCATCACGGCCTTGACAAGATCCACAACATTGTCTATATTTTGATTCTTTTGTTGCATTTTCTTTGATAACACATTAGTTTTTCCTAATAAATACAACATGAAATGAATCAAATGATAAATGAACACAAAATTATAGGCTGCCATTTTTTCAATCAAACTAGAAGAAGTGAACTTTTGAGATCAACACCATCATCAAATTTAGCTTCAAGCATCTCAATCACTGCATCCCACATATTTACAACTCTAATGATTATTGTATAATGAGAGTCCCAACGAGTATCACCGGGGAGTATCACCGGGTGGTGCTAGACTTTTTTCTTAATTTTTCCTCTTACCCGTGTTAACCTCGCCACGTTAAATATGGCCTACAAGATCTTCATAATGTTTTGCAAAAGAAAAAACTTTATTTTTTACATGACGCACCAACCACATTTACAATCATGACAAAATGATGAAAAGACGCACAAAGTATTCAATTGTTCTTCAAAGAGGACACAATCACTAACTGAAGGCGATGAGCAAAACAATGGACATTGTGTGCTTGTTTTTTTCCACAATTCTTTAAGCCATTATCCCACCGCTCATATTGGAAGCCCCATCATAACCTTGGCCTCGAACCTTAGATATTGAAAGACCATATTTTGCCAAAAAAATCGAGCAGCAATGACATTTTTCAATGTCTGTGCGGAAGTGTTACTGACATTCATGAACTCTTAGAAATCGCTCAATTACCTCATAAATATTAACAAATCTTAAAAATAGACATTTGCTCTTTTATTGAACTATCTCGATCCTTATCAATCAATAGAGAAAAAATGTGCTACCAATCTCAATAATTACAATTTGTGCAATGGAGGTAAGACAAGCTATTCTTGATGAGATTGGTAGCAAGTTTTTTTCTCTATTGATTGATGAGGCTCGGGAAAGTTCAAAAAAGTTCAATATGGGGAGGTAATTGAGTGATTTCTAGGAGTCGTGCATGTCAGTAACACTTCTGCATAGACTTTGAAAAATGCTATTGTTGATTTTTTTTTGCAAAATATGATCTTTTGTTGTCTAAGGTTCAAAGTCAAGGTTATGATGATGCTTCTAATATGAGCGGTGAGATTAAAGGCTTAAAACAAAAAAATATGAGGAAAATAAGCAAGCATACGATGTCCATTGTTTTGATCATCGCCTTCAGTTAAGTGATTGTGTCCTCTATGAAGAACAATGAAATAGTTAATAGTTTTTCTTATCATCTTCTTGTCATGATTGTAAATGTGGCTGGTGCAACATGTAAAAGAAAATATGATCATTTACAAAAACATTATAAAGATCTTGTAAGCCGTATGGAATGTAGTGAGGTTAGCACGGGGAAGGGAAAAAATCAAGAAAACAGTCTAACATGACCAGGTGATACTCGTTGGGGCTCTCTTTGAGGTGCTCTAAGTTATATTTGATGATGGTGTTGATCTTAAAAGTAATTCAACTTCTAGTTTGATTGAAAAAATGACAATTTATGATTTTTGTGTTCATTGCATTTCATGTTGTAATTATTCCAAAAAACTAATGTGCTATCAAAGAAATTGCAACAAAAGAATCAAAACATAGACAATGTTGTGAATCTTGTCAATGTCGTGAAGACTGATGTGAAGAATCATAGGAATGATTATGGTTGGGGTTTGTTTTTTTGAAGAAGTGACTGAATTTTGTTCAAAGCATGATATTGATGTACGTAGTATGATGGATGTAAAGCCAGATCAAGTCGAAAGACAGGACAATTGATGGTAGCTCGAAAACTTATTACCACTATTTTCATGTTGACATTTTTCTCGAGATATGTTAGGTTATTGATCATCTTATTCAAGAGACGAATAATCGCTTCATCGAGTCAAGTTCGGAGCTACTAATGTGTATATCGTTGTTAAGTCCTGAACTCTCATTTTCCAATTTTGATAGAAAGTGACTACTTCGTCTTCCTGAATTATACACAGAAAATTTTTAGCTCAAAAGAGAAAAATTTGAACTAAATGAACAACTTAGGATATTTGTTACATTTGTCAAATCATCTTCACAACTTTCGTGCCTATAAACTATTGGAGATTTGGCAAAAAGAATGGTTGAAACAGAATGACACACAACTTATAAATTAGTTTACCGACTCGTTCAGTTGGCATTGGTTTTACCAATTAAAACAACCACATTTGAAAGATCTTTCTCAACGATGAAGTTTATCAAGAATGATTTGTTTAACAAGATTGAGGAATACCTGACAAGTTGCCTGGTCTGTTAGATTGTGAAAGATGTTTTTATTAAAATTGAGATTGAAGTCATTATAAGGTAATTTCAGAGTAAGACGCCTCGAAGACAAGATTGCCACGTCTTAATTATTCTCCTTCATTTGACACATCAGTTTCTAATCAAAGTTAAGGTATTCCTTAATTAGTTATTTTATTTAGACTTTATGGTTTTTGTTTATTACTATATTCATGATATATACTACCTCCGTCCCGTTGGAATGTTCCCACTTTCCTTTTTTTGGATGTCCCAATGGAAAGTTCTCATTTCCCTAAATGGAAAGTTATCCTACATCAAAACAGTGTCAAACAGTGTCAAACAGTGTCCAAACAGTGTCCAAACAGTGTCCAAACAGTAAAATTTACCCCCTGGTAAGTTTATTTCTTTAATATGTGTGTAGGTCAAACCGGGAACATTCCAACGGGACGGAGGGAGTATGATTTATGTGCTAATGTGCCCCCAAGTCATGCGTGTTGGTTCCACTATTGGTCGCTTATGTCATCTATTTAAGTGTTTAGTACACAAGGCTTTCACTTGGGCTGCCCCGATTTGGGTAGATGGGCCAAGACGGCCTAGGGGCACATCCGCAGGGAGTTGGGAGTAAGGGCTGTTGGGTGGGCTTATGACTGGGATGGGCTGCAGGGGCTCAAGTTTTTCACACACACGCACATAACTGCAAGGGCACGGACCTACGGCCCTAGGGTAATGGTTCATGTGATGAACCATTACCCGCATTTTCAGATTTTGTGTCTACATCAGATCTTGACCTCCCGATAGCACTACGTAAAGGTACGTGGTATTGTACTCATCCTATTTCTTCTTTCTTGTCAAATAGTTAGTTATCATTTGTCTCATGTTCTTTTATTGCTTCCATTGATTTTATTTATGTTACCAAATCTGTTAAAGAAGTTTTGTCTCATCTTGAATGATGCCATGGTAGAGGAAGTGATTGCTTTGGATATTAATGGTACTTGAGATTTGGTAAATTGCCTACAAGGAATAAGTTTATTGAATGTAAGTGGTCTTTACTGTAAAGGTTATTCCAGACGGGTATATTGCTTGGTTGAAATCCCAATTAGTTGTGAAGGGTTTTGCTTAAACTTATGGTGTTGATTATTCTCACACTTTCTCTTGTTGCTAAATTAACATCTATCAGGTTACTTATTTCACTCGTTGCAACTCATGGTTGACACTTACATTAGCTGGACATTTAAAATGCATTTCTGCATGGTGACCTTCTTGATATTCATATCGAGCAACTTCCAGGTTTTGTTTCTTAGGGGGGTATGGGAAAATGTGTCGACATTGCAAGTTTCGTTATGGTCTGAAATAAAGGCCGCGTGCATGTTTAGAAAATTCAATCAATCAATTGAACGATTTGGAATGATAAAAGGTCAATTAGATCACTCTGTCTTTTACGGACGAACGAAAGCAGGTATCACATTGCTTGTGGTGCTTGTCGATGATATTGTGGTTACAGGGAGTGATAGTGCATGTATTTTGGCCCTTAAGATTTTTCTTCGTAGTCAATTCAAGACGAAAGATCTAGTCTTATTGAAATACTTCTTGAGTATTGAGGTAACACGGAGTAAGAAAGACATGTCTATCTCCACGAAAATATGTACTTGATTTGCTAGTTGAAACGGGAAAAATTGGGATAAAAGCCAAGCAATACACTCACGGTTCCCAATGGGCAACTCACTCAAGACGACATGCCGTTCAAAGACCCATAAAGATATAGAAGAGGGTTGAAAATCTTAATTATCTCGCAATCACTCATTCGGCTATTACAAATTGGACATGATAAATATATCTATGCTCCAAGTTGAGGGGGTATGAAATATATTAAAATAAATGTAGGAACATGTTTTGGAATATTTTACTTTAGGATGCTATTGTTATGATATATACTCTTATAGTCTTATAGGAATATTCCATCTTTGTAATGTATATTTATGTGAACTTGAATCCTTCAGACAGAGAAATTTCATTTCTTCCTCTCCAATATTATTTTGAGTTTATAAAGTAAGTGGGAAGAATTTTATGAGACAAATGGAGTACCATTTATGAATGATATATAGGGAGAGTAAGAACATCTCCAATTATTCATTTTGAGGACTTGCTTGTAATTTTATAGCTAATAGCTTACCATTGGAGCATTGTTTTTACTTTTGCTTGAGAAAGCTAATTAGTCAAAATGAGATACAAGTTGAACAAGGAGAATTATTAAATATAACATTATGAAAATTAAATGAAGGTAGAAGTTATAGCCAACCATTGAACTGCATTTTAATTTTGGCGCAAATGCTTATGTGTCAAGTCAAGTCATCAGTGCAATTAACTAATCACTAGAGATGCTATAATACAAATGACTTATGTTCGAAAATTATTATTATTATTATTACTATTTTCATTTTGTCGGGTTGGATCTTATATTAAGGGACCTCATAATAAGATATATTGAATGCTGAAGCTCGGGTGCAATGTGGGGCAAAAAAAAGGATAGAATACTCTACTTCAGCCAAAATATTTTGTTCCCTTCCCTTTTCTAGCATTGGTGAAGGCATGATCCTTATGTCGTGCTATTACATTCTGCTTACTACTTTTGCTTGCAGGTACTAGATATACTTGAAGATGCTTGTAGCTCTCTTTTGGAGAATATCTTGGCTGGGAAGTCTCAAAAAGGAGATCATTAATTCTTCATGTCAGCATTATAAATAAATTCTTCAGAGGACCATACTTGTTTAAAGAACTCAAGAATGGTCCTCCGTTTTGAGATTTATGAGTGCGGGGTCTACCCTGAATTTGGAAACAATAGATACATTCTGATTTTGCTGAACCTGTGAATAAACTGGTGTCTACGAGTTGCTCCAAAATCGTGTTTACGAAGTCTACTTTGTTAGCACTTGTTATGTCTCCAAAAGAATCCAATCCCTTCCTCTACCTAGAAATTCTTCAAAAGAAAAGTTCAGAATGGAGATTCTTGGTCATTCATGGCAATCTGTCAACCAAATTATGGAGTTTGAGATGTGATTTTGGAGTCTCTTGAACTGTCAAACACTAGTTTTTCGTGGGAAGCTTAGTTAATCAAACCAGAAATGGCACCCCATTTAGAGGTTTAGGAAAGGTTGATAAGAATGACATGTGCTCATAGAGCTATATTTGAATTTGCATCACAATTTGTTCAAACAAGGATGAAAATAATGAAAAGTGTTTCCTGCTCATGATCCCCTCTTGCAAATTTACATGTAAATACATTTTTAAATAGAAAACGTCTAACTTATGGACCTTTGCCAAGTTTTTTGACTTCCTAGGTTATGAAAAGGGAAAGATCCGGAAAGAAGAGGAAATAAGTTTTGGAGTTTCTAAATAGGGCTGCTATATTTTTAATGTTATCTTGTAGACATTACCTCAAATGATTGCAATGTTATGCATTGAATAGTGCATTATTCACTATCATTAATGACATTTCAATTATGACAATAATAATTTCTATTTCAGAAAGAAAAACATAGCAGTCAAGAAAATTGTCAAATACTCTACTATTACGAAAAAGTCAATTAAGACCTCCAACACAGCTATCATCCAATTAGACCCACAAAGGCACAAATTCTTAAAAAACTAAACTAGCTTTTAAGCCAATAATCTTTGTAAATTGCACGTACATGTGGACTGTGAATCAAATCATACATTTGGACTTATCAAGAACATAACAAGTTTAGGATCGTGAAAAAAATCCTACTTAGAAATTCCGGCCGGTGACAACAATTGATGTCAGGTCCCAAAATGGGTTCACCCGTTCACCCCTAGTTGTAGTTGAAGTTTGATTCTTTTAATCATAAAAAGCCTAAACGCATCCACGAATCCAAGTTCCCGTCAATTTTGTCTTAGCTTGAACTCGGTTGTTTTGTTGTTAGGAAGATCAAGCGTGGAAATCCTTCAATAGTCGAGAATCAAAACTGATCGATATACTAGAGATAAAGATCAAAATTGGAAAACATTATATTCAACGAGCCAAACTGCGTGCCTCATAAACGGTCCGATTTCAATTTCTTTTTTGGTCCAACATATATATATATATATATATATATATATATATATATTACTGTGTAATGTGTAGATAAATTTGCATAATGTTAGTGAGGAAGCGGTCCAGCACAGCTGGTCGCCGACTCACTCTCCCTTACGGGAGGTCTCGAGTTCGAAACTCAATGGAATGAGTTTCAGCCTAGATTACTCCAGGCTTCCCCAGCCCCTCCCCCAGACGCCTCCTGGAGTAAAAAAAAATGCATAATGTTAGTTAAAATAGAGAAGCTAAACCAAAAGACCAAAATAGACCAAACCAAATCCTTTAGGATGGATTAGTTTCCTGAGTTGATGTAACATTTGATCATGGTAGTGGTCATAGATTCTCAATTTAACTTTCAAATTCTTCAAAGTTGACTCTTAACCATTAATATTTCAGAGCATATAATTATAAAGTTAATAATGAAGTGTAATTTAAATAAAGAGTGAAAGTATATTTCATGTTATACAATAATATAATTTTAGAATAATAAGCAGCTAAAGTTAATAAAATTTGATACAAAAGTCAAAAGAAGAACTTTATTGTGGGATAGGGTGTGTATTTATTTAGGGACGCAATCTACATTGCTTTAAAACAAAAACAAGCCACACTTCCACATTTTTACATTAAACCATTGCACTTTTATTAATAAAATACAATACGCTATATGTTTATCCAATCGCAGTGAAGAGAACAGTGTAAAGAAAAATTGTGTTCGCATACTATTCTTACCAATGTTTTTTAATGAAACCATTGAGTTTTATTTGTTTCGATTAGGGGTGGACTCATCCCGGTTAAGTCAATCTTATTATGATAGTATGCGATTGATTAATGTCACATCTTTTTATCACACTAAGCTACTGCATGTTTTAGTAACGATTTAATGACTTAAATTGATCCATTTTTACCCATACCTGACTTTGGGCGTGAAAATGACCAAATTTCCCCCTCCTTTCATATATAGTTAAGTTTGCCAAAAGAAGAGTTTTCGCCTCTCTCTAGATCCGCCGCCTAGGTCGTTCTAGGGTTAGTCCGGAGACGGCTCTCCGCCGTGTCTCCGAGTCCTTTATTCGTTGGATGTCTCTTTGGATTGTTTGGAAGACATTGTCTATTGTCGAAGACGTTGTCCGGGTTCCTCGGTCCGAACTATTGAACGAAGGGTTTCAATACGTGTGCGTATAAGAGTTCTCTCGTTGTAGCCCCATTTCGTCGGCGGATATGGAGGTGGAAACGAATATCGGATATTCATTTGACTTTTCTCTTTTCGGCCTGGAAAGCTTTGTGGACAAGTACAAGACGATGGAGATTGACGCAGAGGAAGAAGAACTGGATCTGGATAAAGGTGATGTTGAAGTTGGGGTGGATGAACGGCGGGCGCGTCCCCCTCCTGAGCCGCTGCCATGGAGTGAAAACAAATCTAGGGTTTGGAAGAAGATGGGTGAATTCGTTTTTAATTTCGTTTTATTCAGTTTGTGTTTTGCTGTCGAATTGTTTGTTGTTTGGTTATGTTTTGTTCTTTGTTTTTGCTTTATTCCAGTTTGTAAGACACTGAGTTTGGATATGGGGGATGAGAGGGATATGGTAACCGTTTTTGGTTTTTTGTTTCCCAGTTATGGATCAGTGAATTTTATTGCTACGGCGATTAATTCCGAGTCTGGTTCGAGGGATGACGGTTGTCAGATTTCTTTTTGTCATTTGACTCATACTCTTAAATATTGGTTATTAATATAAGCCGAATTCTTCCTTTTTTTTATACATATGTTCAGCAATCACTATAATTAGTAACTCTTTACGGAACATTCAATCACTCCATATTAAGTAATTGATAAAACTATGAAGACAACAAACAAAACACTAATTAATGTAACTATTTATTTTTTCCAAGTCAGAATTTGTATTCAACTGAAAAATATTGAGGTATTTACCTTAATAGGAATAAATCCATCTTTAATTGCTAAATTAGGAGTAAAGTTTAAAATTTCTCCAAATAGGACTTATTATATGTAGTTGGACAGATAACCCCCTGAAACTTGCCAAAGCTAACTGCTGCCGACAAACCTCAGACCACTGCCGGCCGCCACAACCACCGCAGAACTGGTTGTCATTAAAGATATGGCTGCTACTACTACAGATCTGATAGTTTTCTCTGCAGATCTGACTGCCACCTTCATGGATCTAGCCGGATCTGACCGCACCTTCCGTCTTCCGCCGCCCCTGAAGATTTGGCCGCCGCCTCTATAGAACCGACCTCCTCTGTTGCAGATTCAGAGCCCACCATTGCAGATCTGACCGATCCCATCACTTATGCTAATATTTTCATTAGAATGCCACCATGAATTTAGAATGCCATATGAATGGCATTTTCAGAGGGAAATATGAAATTTGTGAAGTGTAAAAATGCCATTTTTCTGGCATTTTTAGATTAAATTTGGAATTTGTAATCAGCCAAATAAGAAATAGAGCTTGAAAAGATGAAACAGAAGAGAGGTGCTTAATTTTCAAATAAAAACACAAAATTTTTTAAGACTAAAAATGCCATTTTTACGGCATTTTTAGATTTAATTTGGCATTTTGTAACAATCAAAGAAGAAATGGAGCAGAACAATCAGAGAAGAGAAGCAGATCTACTGAGAAGAAAATTTTATCTCCGGCAGCAGTGGCAGTGGCCTTCGCGACGGCGGCAGAGAAGAAGACTCTGGCGACTACGATGGTGGTCTTCGTATCAGTGTCGGCGATGGCTATGGCTGGGCTTCTAGGTTTGTTGTTGCTGTGTGAAGGGGTAAGAAGAAGATTTGCAGGGAAGGAGAAAGAGATGTGTAGGGAAGGAGAGATGCAGCTGCGCAGGTACAATGGAACTTCAGCGGCCAAATTAAAATGCGCAGCAAGAAATAGGGCTTTGGGGATTTGACTGGTGCGAACATTCATTAAGGGTAGAATAGGAATATCACTTGAATTTAGTTCCATTTATGCTTAAAAATAATTGAAGTCCTGCCGATGCATATCCCATGTTTTTAGTCCCATTTACAGCCAATTTTTCAAAAAATACTTCATCTGCCTCCGAAAAGTTTTAACCATTTTGGAAAGCAGCTTTAACTTTTTTTGGATGTTCCAAAATTAAGCTTTCATTTAGAAATGTGTCCTAACTCTTAAATATACATATTGAAATGTCAAATTACGTATTAACCACCACAAATGTGATTTGTGTATGATACATATATATGACAAGAATCACTTACTAAAACAAATTCTTTGTTGCTGTGTGAAGGGGTAAGAAGAAGATTTGCAGGGAAGGAGAAAGAGATGTGTAGGGAAGGAGAGATGCAGCTGCGCAGGTACAATGGAACTTCAGCGGCCAAATTAAAATGCGCCGCAAGAAATAGGGCTTTGGGGATTTGACTGGTGCGAACATTCATTAAGGGTAGAATAGGAATATCACTTGAATTTAGTTCCATTTATGCTTAAAAATAATTGAAGTCCTACCGATGCATATCCCATGTTTTTAGTCCCATTTACAGCCAATTTTTCAAAAATACTTCATCTGCCTCCGAAAAGTTTTAACCATTTTGGAAAGCAGCTTTAACTTTTTTTGGATGTTCCAAAATTAAGCTTTCATTTAGAAATGTGTCCTAACTCTTAAATATACATATTGAAATGTCAAATTACATATTAACCACCACAAATGTGATTTGTGTATAATACATATATATGACAAGAATCACTTACTAAAACAAATTCTTTGTTGATGGATACAAAAGTAGTCCTGTTGTCTTCCTTTCTCAGTACATCTCAATGCAATAATTTGAAACCTCAGTAGCTTCGCTGTCAAGCATTAAAAACTGTGCAATTTTTATCACAAACGTCTTGCAATTCCACTCACCCTGTTGTTGTGGACTGCTGCACACCATTTCAATCTTTAGCTCCCCCCTTCCCAATTGCTGCTTGTAGATGTTTGTCATACACTCCTAGTTTTTCCATTAAATTTCATAATAAAGACTCTAAGCATGGTGTAAATGATCTTTATGGAGGACAGTGTATCCTCTCTTCTCTTTAGAGAGTCGTAATCTCGAATACACTTGGCATTATGTCTAACACCAATATGACCCAATGCATCATTGTGTTCACTGGCATGTATACGTAATCAGCTTCTGTCTATGGCATCTCGTTCATTTGGCTTGTTCCTAGTATACTGTGCATTATATCCCTGTTGTATGTTGCCTCTATCAATGTTATCTTCTCATTTTGTATCAACTCAGCTTTCATCTTTAGCATACCAACAAATAAAGGACCTGTTGTGGCATATTTCTAATTTAACTTATATTACTACCTGTTCACTCCTAGGTAGTAAAATGCAAGTCCCACATGTGTATTTGATAATCAATGAGCATTTGTGAACAACTCATAAATCCAAGTTTTTGTTCTTATGGTGATGTCGTCCAATTGCGGTCCACATGGACATGAGATTAGCTCATCATGCTTCTTATGATACTTTTTTGGGACATTAGTGGAGTGATTTTTAACCACTCCCTCCAAAGAGAATGTTTTTACGCTAAAAACATCTTGTATTTTTGGAAATTCTTTCGGATCTAGTAAATGGTCCTCTGATTGGATTTATGTCATTGCTTTGTGATTCATCTCTCTTATTGATGACCTTCTAATCTCCATCCTCACCTTCTTCTTCATTTCAGTTGTGGGATTATGTGCGTACCTTTTGATACTTTTAGCACATCTCTTTGGCCTTTTCATCCCCTCTTCTTCAACTTCTAACTCATTTGTTTTTTTATCTTCTCATTGTACAAGGATCTGCATGTCCATTGCACAGTGCTTATCTCTTTTGTGTTTTCTGAACTTGCACACTGTCTGTTTCAACATTCAATTTTTTTCTCCAACAATTCTGGTGAAAGTAACTTGTAAACACTAACTTTACACACATCGAGCACAAATAAACACTAACACACACATTAGAAAGTATACTTGTAATGTGTGAAATAAGTTGATAATTATATATACCAAAGTCAAACAACTCTAACTTTATTCTTCAAATCGAATACACAATTATTTGTATTGTATTTGAAAAACATTTGAACCAAAAAATTGATTTTTATTCGTATTTAGATTCTGGTTTACTACAAATGGGCTTGGAATCTGTATGCAAAAGTGTATATATGAGCTACACTTTGAGGATATTGATATCTTTTAAAAGTTATTATAGTGTTATTACTATTATTATTAATATTGATATTAATATTAATATTACCATTATTATTAATCGAATATATTTGATTAATATTCGAATCGAATACACTCATATTCTTATTTGTATTTGATAACAACTCGAATCAAATTTGATATTCTTATTTGTATTTGAATTTTCCGAATTCGAATCGTATTATACGAATTCGAATCGCGAATCGAGCACAAATTATTTGATTCGTTTACAACTCTATATACTCCTGAGGAGGTGCTCTTAAATTTTTGTAATGGGAATGATTGTGTAATGAAAGCTCCAAAACTGAAAAGCTTGACTGATCGATATTTACCCCTCGTGCGGAAGTGACTAAGTGGAAATGGTCAACACTCCATCTTCCGACCATTAAGACTCTTCGGTTGTCTGCACAATATTTTTTATTAACTCAGTGTGTTCATTACCTATTTATGTGATTCTATTCATCTACCTCATTCAGTACCTTGTCTATTAAATATCATTACTAAAATGTATTATTATATTTGTATTGTAATATATTGAAGCGGGAGGAGTTGTCACTTTCTGTTTGTTGTAATCTTTAAAATTTCGCAATTCGTGTTTCATGTTTAACCACTTATCCAATCTAAAAATGTTAGTCGTCTGTTGTAAGTCACCCCCCACATCACAAAACTGTCGGATAACAGGTCCACAAAATTAGGCAATAACTAATATAGTAATGCATGTCTGTTAGGCATTCATGTTTAACCACTTATTGTTAAAATGTTTTTTATTTGTTTTGAATCAACTCAATTGTTTTATTCACAGATGTGTTTATGTAGATTTGTGTTGTGACGATTCTCTTTTATGAAACTTGAACAGAGGAAAAGAGACATGAAGTTCATCGCTGCATACTTGTTAGCTGTGCTGGGAGGCAAAGCCAGCCCTTCCGCCCGTGACATCAAGAAAATCCTTTCCGCAATCTACATTACAGATATTTCTACATATGCCGCAATCTACATTACAGATATTTCTACATATGCTGCATCTGTTTCATGATCTGTGTATGTGAAGTTTTGTTTGCTGTTCAGTGTATTTACATATTTTCGACTGCAAGGTCTTGTTAATCGAGACTAGAGAGTATATTGATTTCAAATTGAAGTTTTGAAAGAGACCATTATTATGTCTGTTTGACCATCTTAGCTGATTTAATTTGCTACCACTATATCACATGTGAATTGGATCAAAGTAGAGGTTTTTGTGATTAACAAATCAAGACAATTCTTCTGCGAGAGAGGGGACTCCACTCCAGCTCTTTGTCACTCAACGCTCTTGTGAAGCACTAGAATCTGGATTTTGCTAGGAGAAAAAATCAGGAAGGAAAATAAAGGCAGAACTTTATAAAAACCTAGGAATTTATACATCTTACTCCGTATTAAACATATGAAGCATGATGAATTATTCGTTTTTGTTTGCATTATTTGAAAAAGCAAACACAAAGTTCAACTTGCCTTGGCTTTTTCCCCTTTTTCTTGAGCATTTTTTAAAATATGATAGCTTTAACAAATACTACTAGCATTTGTTATTTACGTGCTGGATTGAATGATTAACCTATTTACTTATCTGTATCCTATTTATTCTGTGAAACATGGTTTCTACTGACTACTAAATAAAGTCCAATGTCCTTGTTCTTCTTTCATTACTCATTGACTCAAGTAATTTTGAAAATATGCTGCACCTTACTTGTCTTTCTTATGAAAAAACATTAGTTAAAGATGAAAACGCTACAACTCTTAAAAGATTACGTTTGATTCCAGCATGTTTGTTGTATGGTCGAGTGTTCTTCAACAACATCCAAGCCTTAATTCTAAAAGTATTAGGGGCTGGCTAAAATCCTAATCTTCATTTGTTTCATTTGTGCAATACTCTATTTGTTCTGTTTTCTTGTCATCATTACTTAACATCAAAACTCGGATTTCGTAGTGGGTGCTGAGGCTGATGACAGTAAGCTTGAGTTGCTCTTGTCTCAAGTTGAGGGGAAAGATATCACAGAGTTGATTGCAGCTGGAAGGGAGAAATTAGCTTCCGTACCAAGCGGTGGTGGTGGTGGTGCTGCTGTGGCAGCTGTTGCTGCTGCACCTTCCAGTGGTGGTGGGGCTGCCCCAGCTGCTGAAGAGAAGAAAAAGGAAGAGAAGGAAGAAGAATCCGACGATGATATTGGCTTTGATCTTTTTGGAGGAGATGATTAGAGTTGTTTTACTTCTATATGTTTGTTTGGATAATACTATTAAGTTTTAGCATCCTTTCCTGTTTTTTACTCTACAATGAAGACTCCCGAATCTTTTTCGGCCTATTGTATTGTTACAATAGCTGAATCATGAACCTAACATCTCTCATTCCCCTCTCAAGCCTATTTTTGAAAACAATTTTTACTAGAACACCATATTGCGTATTTTACTTTGAGTTTTAGTGGTTCTGCTGCCATTATTTACCGTTTTGTTTTACTCACTTTCTATTATCAGACAAATAACACATCTTTGTAGGTTTGACAATGTATTGCAATTAAATTATTTTTTTTTGAAAATTTACTCTTAATAAATGTATTCAGTTGTCTCAAGAGCAAACCTTTTATTTATGAGTTTTACGGTTCATGTTTTTGCAGTTGGATTAGGGCCTTAGGGGTGGAGCCGGGCCAGTTCGGGCCCGGGCCGGGCTGGCGGTTCAGGAATGGGGGGGCCGGGTAATCCCCGGGTCCGGGCCTCGGGTAATACCTAGTCAAACCCGAAAAGTAAAAAAACTTGAAAAAAAATTAAAATAGGCCCGGTACCCGGCCTGAGCCGGTTGGGCTAGTTTGCCAAAACCATGACCCGAGCCCGGTCCCGAACAGTAGCGGTCCGGGCCAAGGCCTGTGCTATGGCCGGTGCCGGTTCGGGCCGGGTCACCTGCCCGGGTCACAGGTCGGGCAACCCGCCGGGCCGGGGCCGGGTCATGTTTAATTTTTTTTTTTAATTATAGTTTATACAAATTCTTATTAAAAACAAAGTTCATGTGCATTTATTTGAAATAAGAACTACATTTGAGAATTGAGAAAAAAATAATATGAAATACATTTTCTAATACATATCAATTGGATTTTTGCCTTTGTCACAAGACTTCATATGTTTTAGAGAAAAGGGGCAAATAAGCCCTCCAACTATTTGCAATTCTGCAATCAGGCCCCTGAACTTGTAAAAGTGCAGATACACCCCTCAACTCATTGAAAATGATGCAATCAGGTCCTTTTTACTTGCTGGTGTCGGTAATATTTCATCTTCTTACCCCCAACCAACAGGTAAAAATGGATCTCATTGCATCATTTTCAATGAGTTGAGGGGTGTATATGCAATTCTTCAAGCTCAAGGGCATAATTGCAAATTTGCAAATAGTTGGAGGGCTTATTTGCCTCTTTTCTCTATGTTTTATGGGCAACTCGTATCCGTGTGAACGCCCAAAGTTACACTCTTTCTTGCACCATTTGCAAGTTGCCCACCACAGTCCGGTCTTCGTGTCCTTCCACTTATCGAAATTGTTTTGCATAAGGGAAGATTTACTTTCCATCTTTAAAATGGTAGATGTATAAGTAGGAATGTAGGATAACAAGAGAAGATGAAGATGGAGAAGAGTTGGAGAAGAGGTGTAGAAAAATGTTAGAAAATAGATGTATTTATAGAAATTTTTGAAACCCACTCCCCACACCACCACCCCGGGACCCCCCTGCCCCCCACCCAAAGCCCCAACGGCTATATAGCCGTTTGGGAGCTATTTTCTTTTTAATTTTTTTTAAAATATTTTTTATTTGAAAATTATACATATTGTAAAATAAGTTAATTAATTTAATGAATTAAGTAAAGCTCTTTTTACTTAGAAAAGTGGTTTGATTTATAATTTACAAATGTTACAAAATAGGTGTATAATTATTTAAACAAATTACATATTGTAAGCTATTTTTAATTTAAAAACAGCCTTTAGAAAAATAATTTTAAGTTGTAAGTTTGTAACCAATTAATTAATTTGAGAAGTGTTACATATGAAAAACTGAATGCATATTTATTTGAAATATGAAGTATAAGTTTACAAATTACAATTGAGAATTGAGGAAAATATTAAAACATGAAATACATTTTATAATAAATTCTAAAATACTAATCAATCGGAATCTCCGGCATAGGTAGAGCCACCATCGGTTGTTGAGTCATCCATAAAGTCTTGGGAGGGGGTGATGCTCATTTCTTGAGTTCTACGTGCGGCCTTCAACCAATCGTGTTAGCATATAAGCGTCTCAAGAGACTCTGCACTCAATCTCGTTCTAGATGCCGTTAGGACGTTGCCGGCCGAACTAAATTCTTGTTCCACAGCAACTGTTGAAACCGACATTGATAGCACTTGCTTAGCCATCCGTGCTAAAATCGGGAACGTTCTTTCTTTTGACTTCCACCAGTTTAGAACGTCAACGTCATCATTTTCTTCAAATTCAACTTCATATGTTAAATACAAAGTAATCTCATTTATTGCGTTTTGTTGAGTAACGTGAGTTGTTTTAGTTTTTTCATAAGATTGCCAAATGCAGATTTAAAAATTGATTTTCCTTTAGATGAAGATGTTCGTGTTGGGGGAGGGGGCGCGTTGCCATATTGTGCACGAAACTCATTAAATAAGGCATAAAATAAAGCACTAACCTCGTTGTATTCCGTTTTCGGATCTATGGGGTATTCGTCATACATTGGAAATTCACCAAAAAAGCAAGATAATAGAAGTTGAAACAATCTTTTAAATTAGCTAGTCTAAAACGAGGATTGAGAATAAATGCAATACCATAAATATGAGAAATATGTGCATAATATTTTAAAAACTTTTCCTTCATAAAATCACAAAAATAACTCACGTAAACGGCATTCTCAAATTCTCTAAAAGCACCGGCGAGATTAACAGCTTCACGAAGAAATTGCTTTGCGGTAGGTTTATAAACATGACTAAAAGTTTCAGTTGCATTAAAAAAATATATCAAAATATTACATTTTTTTCCGCAAGTGTCGATTTCAGCCGAGTTTATAATATAGTTATCATGTTGTTTTAAAAAAGCAGGAAAATGTTCTTTATATCTAAGAACAACTCTAAGTAATTTATAAGTACTATTCCAACTAATACTCAAATCTTTAGGAAAAGCAACATATCTCACACATCTTTCAGTCAAATAAGTTTGTCATTTTAATCTAAGTTGACCATTACCCCAAATACGTCTAACCCCCCCCCCCCCCCCCCCCCCCCGACTACCTCCATAGCATCTCCTAACGCTTTTACACCGTCTTGCACACATAAATTTATAACATGGCATGCACAACGTTGATGATAAAATCTACCCATCAAAGTATTGGCACCACACAATTCACACAATCTAGGTATAGCAACAGTATTATTAGTAGCATTATCGAAACCAATAGCAAACACCTTATCAATCAAATTATACTCAATTAAAATATGCTCAATCAAAATATAAATATGTTCAGCGGTGTGACGATAATTAAATTCACGAAAAGCAAGAACACGTTTATGCATATTCCAATCCTCCTCAATATAATGTGCAGTCAGACCCAAATAATTTAAATGATGAAAATCATCCTCCCATATGTAAGAACAAATAGTAACACGCCCATCAAAGTTTGCAAAAAAAAATTGTAACCTTGCCTTTTCTGCACCATAAAGCCTTATAATTTCTTTCTTAACAGTTTTGCGACTATAACCTCTAAATTGAGGATTTAAACTACCGCATGCATAATCTCTTAAAGCAAGACTTTCAGAAAACATATAAGACAAATTTTCTTCAAAAATTAAGTTAGCCATACCAGTCAAATTTTGTGCATCATTGTATGAGAAATTACAAAAAGGTTGAGAATTCGCAAACCTCGATATTTGAGTTTGCTTCTCCGTTCCGCCGCCTAATTTTGCATACTCCATGGGGTGCTTTGCCTTAAGATGCCTTGCGGCGGATCCGTATCCGCCGGAGGTCCCCAAGCTATAATTTTTGTTGCACCACTTGCAAGTTGCGTGCCAATACCCGGTTTGTGCGTCCTTCCACTTATCAAAATTATTTTGCATTAGTTCAAATTTACTTTTTTATTACTGGTGGCGTTTTGGGATGAGGCAGGCTCGTCGGCATCGTGGCTGCCGCCACCCTCCTCCTCGGCCGTCTCCGGTTCCATTTCCTCCGCATCTTCATCCTCAAGCTCATCTTCGTCAATGGTCGCCGAGATTTGTTGTTGTTGGAGAAAACGGTTATTATGTCGGGCCAATTCTTATTGTAGTTGTTCTTCGGATATCGCATCTCCATTCCTTTTACGGGATTTCTTCCTCCCAATCACGGCTTTGAGATTGGTAATCCGTTTCAAAATCATCTCGGCTTTGAGATGAAGAGCCGGCAAGTTCTTTACCTTTGCGGGATTTCTTCCTCCCAATCTCGTTCCTTCGGTTGCGCTCGAGGTTATCCAAATCAACCGAATATCTACCACCTTCCACCTTACAAATATTAATTTGCAACAAATATAATAATGAATACAAAAGTAATGCAACTAATTAAAACTATTTTAATTAATACTTCAAACTAATTTAGTGAAAACTACTTTAATAAAATGTGAAGTACTTTAATTAAGTAGTGAATTAAAGTGTGACTCTAAAATACAAATTAAAATTTGAACTAATCAATATTATTTTTAATAAATACTTAAAACTAACAAGTGTGACTTTAAATAAAATGTGAGTAATTAAATTATAGCAACTTTTCAAGTACTTTAATTTAGTGAAAACTACTTTAATAAAATGTTAAGTACTTTAATAAAATGATTGAACTACTCTTTTTTCGTTCAAATATAAATTCAAACTATTATAACGTGACTTTAACTATAATGACAATTAACTAGTTTTTTAAAGTAGAGTTGTTTTAGCAATTAATGGGAATACTAATTAACTAGTATAATGAAAAATGTAACAATATAATTAGTGGGAATACTAATTAACTAATCAAGTAATGTTAATACAAAATGTAAGTAATAAGACAAATGTATGAATGTGTATAGTAATTAATGGGAGTAAATGAGTACGTATTAGAATGATTTTAAGTAATATTAATTAAAGTGTAACTAATATATAATATATTGTTTATAGTTTATAATATATATGTATACTACTATAAGATGAGTAATACGCTCATATTTAATACTTTAATATATAAAGTACTTCCTCCGTTCCTTTTTAATTGCAACAGTCAACATTTCACGTTTGCCAACACACAAGTTTGACCATTAATATCTTTCATTCCTTATTAGTAAAAAAGTTAAAAAAATCACATTTTGAAAATATAGAATGAGAAGATTTTA